GGATTTTTTTCTTTCAATTTCCTTTTGAACTTTCTTTTTGAGGAGGGAGTATTTATTTTAAGAAGAAATCTTACCTTTTTTTTTTGTCAATGAAAAGTACTAATTAAGGGGATGCAATGAAATGACCTGTTAATGTAAGAAGCAGTTTTTGTAATAAAATACTGTATTTGGACCAGTGAAGCAGTCTCACGTGTTCTTACTATAATATAGAAAACCCAGGTTTATTCTGGTTTGATTCACCTCTGGGAATACTGCTAAATGCATAGCCCTGCCTAGTTAATCACAGGAGGAAAATTAATATACTTGATGATTTTTTTGTTTGGTTGGTGTGGGCTTTTCTTGTTTGACTTTTTGTGGGGGGAATCAGTGGATTGGGCTGGATTTCCTGCAGCATCATTCCTAAAGGGGTGACTAGTAGAGGTGCTCTTCTAATGTGCAGATTTGATATATATCATGGTGGGTTGCTTTGTAGTACATTTACACGTTAATATCCATTGTAATGAGCTCATAAATGTAATGTGCAAGCATGAAGACATCCTACATGCTAGACATGTTATGATGGCATGTAAAAAGCAAATATCATGAATGTTTATCTTCCTGCAGAATTGTTGCTAATTGCTACTAGTTTTATTTAAGGAAGCTTGGAATTACTTTGTTTCTATGTTCGTTCAGTGATTTTATTTAACACTGGTCTGGCAATAAATGGTGGTTCAGTGTTCATTTTGGTGGATTTAACTGACATTCTGTCTGGCAGAATTAACTTTTTGTATTATTACTCAACTGTGTACATTTTTGGTACAGAACTACTTTTTCAGTTTCAGTAAAACCATGGAAAACACATTGACTTAATTGTGATATTTTAAGCTTACTTTATGATGACTCAGTGACTTACGTTTGTAGACAGTCTAAATTAATAGAGTTAATGAAGAGACACCAGCAAGCAGTGCTAAACATAGCCAGGGCTGTGACACCAGAACTTCTCCCCTTGTTTGCAGAAGCCTGTTGGCACTCATTTATTCTCAAAGCTTAATTAGACAGTTTGCCCTAGTGGGAGAGATAACTCCAGCATTAGAGGTACCTTCTGCTAGGGCCTGTTTGGCAAAATCAAACCACCTGTCTAGAATTTAATTTCTAGAGTTGCTGTTAACTTCAGTGCTGTATATTTACCACTGATTATGGCTTTCCAAATATTTTAAAATCCTAGAGGAAAAAAACCCATTAACAATAGTGTATTTGACACTTGTACCACCTTACACTGTGATACACCAGTCTCCTCCTGCTGCCTGGTGTGGAAGTTTCGGCACTGTGAGACTTGCAACCACTGCAGCCCCAGCTGCCTCTAACCACCCAGCTATTGCCCACTTTCATTTCCCCAGCTGCTGCAAGGCCCTGTCAGTGAACTGAGCATTACTGAACCTTCCGGAGGAGGGAGCAGCTCCAGCACAGGGGTGCACACCCACCACCACATGCACCCTAAGCACAGCTGTGACACCAGAAGCCTGGTATAGCAGGTGCTGACCTGGAGGGATTGTGGCTTTGCCAGGCTCCAGCACAGCCATTCCCTGGGCAGGCACACTGATTCCTGGAAAAAAGCTGGGAGACCACTTGCTTTTTCATAGGAGTGTACAGGTACACTGGGTATGTCAGTGCACAGACACTGGACAATTTTCATCCTTCATGTGAATCTTGTTTATAAGGTGAATACAGCCCTGGGAAAAGCTGTAGTAGATGGCCTGTCCAGCTCCTTTCAGCTGCCTTTTGGTGTGCAGTGAGATCTCTGGCTGCCACTTGGAGCGTTTTTAAGATACATGATCCTCTCTGTCTCCTTTTAGACATGGCTTACATTTTCAAGGTCGTATCCTCTTTCTCCATTTGGCTTTGGTTAGGGAAGGTTTTTATTTCACAATGGTACCTGCTGAAACAAGATGTTGGTTTGGGATTCTCTCTTGCCTCAGGGCAAGTTGGTATTTCTGTCAGGTCCACCTTGTCCTGCACACAGAGCAGTGACATTGGTGTGCATCTAGTGCCACTCCTAGCATTGACAATTCCATACCTTATCCTGGGGATGACTGCTGACTTGCTTATCAGGCTGTGCAAGGGGGAGGCCTGCTTCCAAAGGTAACCTCATCTCAGTGCTCCAGGGCTTTTGCAGTATGTTACACAATACAAAATTAATTAGCATCCTATCTTCACCACTGGTTTAACCTCAGTCTGCTCTTAGAGGACTCTAAGAGCTTTAGTCCCAGCTTTCATAGGTTGCTCCCATTCCATTCCCACTAGGACTGAGGCCTTCTAGGAAAACATGGTGAGTTGACCTTGCTGTTGTTCATTCCAACCCAAGCAGGACAGGAAAGAGAAATTGTAAAGGCAAAATGAGAAGACCAGATTGAGATAGAGACTGCTTAACAGTGAAGCTGTTCCATGTGAAGCTACACATGGAAAGCAAAATAAAGAATTAATATACAATTCCCTAGCAGCAAACAGAGCTTTGGCACACTAACAGTTACTTGGGAAGACAAATACCATAACCATGAATGTCCCCACTTTCTTGTCTATTTCCCAGAGCTTTTGGTGCTGGGCATAATGCTGTCTGGTATGGAATACTGCTGTGGTCAGTTGGGATCAGATGTGACTCCCTGCATTCCTTCAGAGCCTCTCACCCACTTCCAGCCTGCTCACTGGCAGTGAATATAGCAGAGAAAGAAGGACAACTGAAAAACCTTGAATGCTGGCAAACCCTGCTCAGCAACAGCCAAAACACTGCTGTTTAACTGATGTTCTTAGTCACAAATCCAGAACACAGCCTCATACAGGCTGCTATGGAGACAACTAATTTAATTCCAGCCACAGCCTATACAAAAATAGAAAATCTAGATCTTGGCACCAGTATCCACAAGTGAGATCTACAACAGCCAAGTAAATACCAGCTCTTAGACTCACAGAAGGGTTTGGGTTAGAACGGACTTTAAAGAGCATTAATTTCTACTCCCCCAGCTGTGGGTAGGCGCACCTTCACTAGACCAAAGAATCACAGAATTGTTTCGGTTGGAACAGAATTTTAGAATCAAGTCCAACCCTAAACCTAACATTGCCAAGTCCACCGGCTAAAAAGGCATCCGCCTGATGGACCTGACATTTCAGGGTTCTTCCTTCCTGTTGTGTGGCCTGATGGCACACAGTGAAACACGGGATGCAGTTCTCTTCCTCTCCCTGTATCCTCCTGGATGCCTCTCCCATGGGCACAGTGCACCAGACACAACCTGGGTGTCAACAGGAGCCAGCCATGTATCCTTTCTCCTCCTCGCAGTGCTTAATCTCCAGCTCATACCAGGCAGCAGTAGAAGAATGGAAGAATTACCTCTTGCTTTATCCACTACCAGAAACATAAGGTCAGGTTGCTCAAAGCCCCATCCAACTTGGCCTTGAACACTTCCAGCCATGGTCCAGCCACAACTTTCCTGTACCAGCATCTCAGCACCCTCACAAGAAATAATTTCTCCCTTACCCACTTTATTCTTCTGGAGAGGAATTCTACAGGGTCAGTCCATTTCCACAAGCTGGAACACCAGGATGAAATTAACCATACCATAAAAATTATTTCAATTACCAGCTTTGCCCAGGACCATTGAGTGAAGGACCACAATTAGGCAAGTCTATCATGTTCAGCACAAGACAAGGCTCACAGGTCTAGCTTCTAGCTCTGCACCTGGTACCACAACATGATTTGCCAAATTGCTTCCTACTGCCCCTTAATGAACAACTGGGCTCCAAGAGCAAATGGAAAGCGATACTACAGTATGTGTATGCTGTAGGCCTCATCATCCTCAATCTGCAGTCTCAGACACATGGTCTTTCATGGAGGCAGTCACTGCATAAAGTTGCCCTAAAAATGCTCTCTCATCCCCAAAATGACTTGGCAATGTTGCTATCTTCTTTTGCCCAGCACTGATTGCCCCGTCAGTGTTTCACCCACAGGCCTCACCCACCCAATGCACAGGTTATGCACAGGTATAACAATGCAGGTAAGGGTAAAAACTTTAAAAAAGGTACTTGAACAAGCCACATACAACTGTAATGGTACATAAAGAAGTCCATCTCACTCTCCACCTTTTCTACGTGAGAGCTGGCATAGCTCTGTGTGAGCTGGTCCAGTGTAACAAGAGGTTACTTGTTACTTTTAACTAGAGGTTAAAATTAGTCCAACTTTTGGGAATACTGGCTCCAAAATATGCTTCATTGGTGAAAAAAAAATGGGCAGCTCTATAAAGTGCACAGAGTGACATCACTGTTGGCAGTTTCTGGATAAACAGAATTGTACTTTTTTTAGGATAATCTTGGTTTTCCTTAATAAATTGTTTCTGCATAAGAAAGTCTGAAGAGCTGAGAATTCTAATTCCTCATAGCAGTTTCTTTTAATACCTAACAATGCACTCTACATTTGGCATTTAAAATCCAGGGAACATGGGCACATAGTATGGGAAACTACATGCAACTTTAGTTTTTGCTTTGGCAATACAAGCTTAGGAATGGGGCTTAGTCTCAAGCCACCAGGCAGGTGAGATCACTGAAATATTTCACTTGAAAACTGTTCCTGCTTTGTGAGGTGGGGAAGAATAAATCATAATGTGCATTACACTGAGTGTCATACTAAGTCATCAATTATTTGATGTTTATTGTGGTTTTCTCTGTCTGCAATGTAATTTAATGTAGTCCTTTATTTATGATGGTCCTGGGATCATCACAAGTCCATTATAATATCTATTGTCATAAAACTATTGATATACAACTCAGCCCCTGAATTATCTGTTAACACACAAAACCATTTAATGTGTAGTTCCAACCTCTCAATTGAAATTCTCTCAATAACTTTTCAAAATGCAGATTATGTAATGAAATCATGATGTAAATTGCCTATTACATAGTTGAGTGGAGTAATTTTTCCTTACTATGAGAAAGACACTGTGGTACTGGAGTGACTCCAGAGAAGGGCAATGGAGCTGATGAAGGATCTGGAGCACAAGTCCTATGAGGCTGATGGAGATGAGGGTGCTGAGTGTGAAAAAAAGAAGGCTCAGAGAGGAAGTCATTCCTCTCCACAACTGCCTGAAAGGAGGCTGCAGCCAGGTGGGCTTGGTCTTTTCTCACAGGTAACAAGCACAAGGAGAAGAGGAAATGGCCTCAAGTTGCAGCAGATGAGGGCTGGATTGGATATTAGGACAAAGTTCTTCACTGAAAGGGCAGACAAGCATTGGAACAGGCTGCCCTGCACTGGCAAGCGGTAGTACCACTGCCTCTGGCAATGTTACAGAAGGTGTAGATGTGGCACTCAGGGACTCAGGTTTAGTGGCAGACCTCAAAGTGTTACGTTAACCATTGGACTTGATGAGGTTTGAGGTCTTTTCCAACCTTAATGATTTTATGATTCTAGGTAGAGAGAGGAGCCTAAGGGGAAGGAATGAAGTTGAGCTGGGGAAAAGGGGCAAGAAAGCTATCCCAGCATTTGTCCTTCTGTCTCCCATTAACCTCCCATTATTTAAAATCAGCAACAGATTGATTTTCCACATGTCAAGATGTTCTGCTGTGACAAAAGCCAGGGAGCAATCCTTCCCTCTTGACCTATGAGCTTTTTCATTCTCTCTCTAATCCTGCTGAATAGGTGGTGAGCATTTCACCCTTTGCCAAGGCTATCCCACCACAACTCCAGTTATTTAATTCAATAAAAATTCTCCTCCTCCTCCAAAAAGTGAGCAAAGAGAGGAATAAAAAGTAATGACTTTATCAACTAATTAAGGTACTTGATACCGTGACTGTCCTCTAAACCCCAGAAAATGTCATTGACAGATGGGCCTTTTTGAAATTTGCGAGTATGCCAAAGCAAAGCAAGTTGAAAACTCTGAGGTTTTGCGAGCTTTTGCCTATTTAATTCCTGGGAAAAGAAGCTGAAAGAAGTTTGTGAGCCCCTTTAAAATGTACTTACCGATGCTGCATGAGATATTAGTCCCATGAGACCCCAAGTGAAAATTAGGTTTGATTTTGCTAACCACTTGCATCTTATACAAGTACTTTAAAGTTAGTCCACAGGCTTGGGAGAGAACTTATTACTCTACAACAGCCTGAAAGTAGTTTGTAGAAAGGTACAGATCCATCTCTTCTCACAGGTGACAAGTGACAGGACAAGAGGAAATGGCCTCAAGCTACGCCTCGGGAGATTCAGGCTGGACATTGGAAAGAATTTCTTCACTGAAAGGGTTTTCAGGCACTGGAATGGGCTTCCCAGGAAGGTGTTTTAGGAAAAAATGGATGCAGTACTCACTTGCTGTAGTCTAGCTAACAAGGTTGCATTCAGTCATAAGTTGTACTTGATGACTTTGAGATATTTTCCAGCCTAAATATGTGATTCATTGTACTAATTTCAAGAAACTAACACACAGATTTGTGGAGTGGAACTTTTTGCTGTTAATTTGCCATGAGTGAATTGAGAGCGCTGTATGCTTAATCTGAAAAATACAACAAAATGGGATTTAGACCTCAAGTCTGTGACATGAATGAGAAAAAATTCTGAGTTTTAGTAACCTTTCATCCTGTTTACATCTAGCTGAACCTCCCTTCTGCTGGTGTTATTTCAATGTGATCATGGCTGGATCATTCATTTCACCTGAGATTTCCCTGCAGAGCTCTGCTCTGAGCATTTGACCTGTGACAGAGAGCTGAGATAAAGGCCTGGCCCCACATGGGTATCCCATTTCCCTGACACAGACAGGTGAGTGAGATGGGTTTTCAAGAGACCTGCACATAATGCAGGTGGATGGCTGGGAATAACATGTTCACCCTTCATTTCTATCTTTGTTTCTCTCCACCTCCTCCATCTGTCTTGCCACCTGTTGTCAGTGTCTGCTGCATCTTATCTTCAACAGCTGCAAAAAAATGTTCTTTAGGATATTTTTAAGGTATATAGGTGCACCACAAATCTTCCAAGCCCATAGTAACAAGCAGCTCAGCAGCTGCAGGGCTACGTTATCTTTCACACTGCTGGTGAGCATACTTGGAGATTCTGTGGCTGTAGGCCCACATCTACTCACCTCTTTTTTCTAGAAGGGATACAAATACAAAGGGATGACCGCTGTGGGACAGCATTTATATTCTGGATTGCACTATTACATAGCTTCTCAGACTGCAGAGCAAAATTGCTCAAGGTAGCTGCAGCTGTGGAATTTGAAAGAATTTTTACTTCATAACAGACAATTGACATCCTCTTAGGTCTATTATGCACCTCAGCTAGATAGAAGAGAAAATTTTTATCACCCCAGAGAGAAGCGAACCTCAGAAATTACCACTTCTGACATGCTAAAACATTTTTACTAATTTTTACTTTTCTTAGGTATCTTTCTCAATATTATTTTTTTCCATGCTAATTGTATGATGACCACACTAACTAAAGCTGATACAAGCTTTATATATATGTGTGTTATATATAAGAGAAAACCTGCTTTTTGCTCCTTCAAGCTTAGGAATGCTTTTAAAACCATTACCCAATGTTGACTGTTTTCTTACTTTATTTCAACACAGGCCTCTTATCTGCAATCTGGGGAGTATGTACAACATGTGTCCACTGTGGCAGCTCCTTGGGTGTGGTTCTCTCCTATGTAAATACATATATTCCCCTCATGGGTTGCATTGCACCTCCCAGGTCACCCCTACTTGTCAGTAAGCCAAACTACCTCTGGTACATCAGGGGTGATACAAACCTTTACTGCCCTGGGAGGGCATGATTATGCCACTTCTCATTTGCAGGTCTTTGTCTTGTACCTGTATTTATATAATTTTTTGAGGGGTGGCAGGGGCTACCATCACTGTGTAGGTACTGATAAAGACAGACATACTGCTCACATTCTGTGTGGCACAAAGGCTTCTTACACAAAAAACTGCTAAAAGAAAGGTCACATTTATAACTCTGTTTTGGGTATTGACAGGAGCAAATTCAGTGGGTGCATACTGGGCATTTCCATCACTTTTTGAAAACAGAGGCTTTACTGCACACTCCACTGCACACCCTACCACACCCAGATGAGATTTCTGCCTTCCCAAACCAATGAATCATAGGTGTTGCACCTCTGGTAACAATTTTTAACCCAAACTGCGGCAGAAGCTGAAGCCTGGCTTGCAACACCCCAGAGCATTGGCCCCTCTGCTGTCGATGTCAGAGAGAGAGAGAGAGAGAGAGAGAGAGACAGAGAGAGAGAGACAGAGAGCGAGAGAGAGAGAGAGAGACAGAGAGAGACAGAGAGAGAGAGAGAGAGACAGAGATGGAACATTTCTGGTGGAGATTTTACACAGAATTAATTGCATGTGCCACCTCTGCCTGGGGAGGGCTGTGGGTGCAGCCAGGATGACCCCTGATGGCTGATCATGCCCGCTGGCCTCCCACTCTCCTCCGCTGTGCCCCCTGTGCTGGGGTGAGGCTGGCGGCGAGCCCCTTGCAATTTTGGCCTCTCAAGATTTGAGGTCCTCAAGACTTGAACCAAACTTTGCAATGTTGTCTTTTTTTCAGTTGTTGATCAGTAGCTGTGGCTGAACAGCTATGATTAAGCAATTGCACTGTGAATGTTGCATGCTTAGCTCACCTTTTGTTTTGAGAAAAGAGAAGACAATCCCAAGATGAATGGACCCTCTGGATGAGCTGCCAGGAGTGAAGGCAGCAGGAGGGGGCAGTAATTGAGGGAAGGTAATTCCAGCAGTGGATGGCCGTGATCAGTCTCATCGACCACCAAACCCTGACCCAAAGGGAGGGAAGAACCATGACTGCAGACTAACTACTAGATCTTGGAAAAGCAAGAGATAAACCAGCAAATACGGGTTTGAGTACTAATTAGGAGAAAAGTACAACACACAGCAAAAAACCGCTGATGCCTTTGTTTGTTAAAAGGTATAAACAGTGTAGAGGTTTGATGATCACAGAACCAGCCTTTCGTGGGTTACCTCCTGATTCCCTGCTTTGAGCAAACTAGAAAAAAGGCGAAATACTGCATGACAGAAGCGTTAGGGTTGGAAGGGACTTTTGTAGCTCATCCAGTCCAAGGCCCTGGCAGAGGCAGGGTCACCCAGAGCAGGTGACACAAGAACATATCTAGTTGGGCTTTGAATGGCTCCAGAGAGGGGCACTCCACACCCTCCCCGGTGCCTCCTCAGCCTGCTCCACTGCCCTGCCACTCTCAGCATACGGAAGTTCTGCGCCAGGCCAAGCGGAGGCTCAAGAGGCCGCGCTCCGCTCCGTCCTGGGTCCCTGTCCCGCCTCCGAAACCCGCCCAGGCCGTGTGAGGGGAGGGGGGCGGGGCGTCCGTCAGACCCCGCCCCAGACCCTGCCCCCACCGGCCCGCCGAGCCGCCAGGGGGCGC